GCTGTGAGCTTCCATCTGTATGGATAGTCCTGCATGGAAAATGTGGCTTTCTGCTTGTTTTCACTGCCTGCCTCTTGCTTGCTCTCGCTCCTTCCTTCCTCCCTCCCTCCCTCCTCCTCCTTCCTTCTTCCTTCTTCCTTCTTCTTCCTTCTTTTTTTCGTGATCTTTTGGTATTGCTGTACTACAAATGGCATACAAGGATTAAAAACATCCAAACAGTACAAATAGTATGCAATACAGTGGCATTAACCAGTGGGGATAGCGCCTAAAAAACCGAACATCACCCAAATGCTTTCTGCAAGTGCCACGGTTTCTGTCCTTCACAGAAACTCACTAGGGAAGAAATAGTTTTTAATCTGTCATGACAAGGTGTTCCACAGAAGGAAGAACCACCATTGCGAAAGCCCTGCTATGAGGTCCTTGTCAATGCAATCCTATAGGAAGGGCAGGATCACTTCAGAGCAGGCAATCTCGGGGACAGCCGGACCCTGAGCCATGTAGGGGTTTCAAGATGATAACCAGCACCTTGAATTGCACCTGGAAGTTGATGGATGCACTTCTGGAGTAGAGGTATTAAATGGGCAAATTTCAAAATGTCCAATGCTACTTGGGCTATCTATCTATGTGGTTGCTAAGAGTGGACACTGACTTGTTGGAACAATCAATGAATTTTTGTCTGTGTGGAAGTTCTGTTATCCTAATGGCAAAAGGGGGATGTTCCAGGGCTTTTCTGGTGTGGTATGAGAGTTTCCTTGGATCAAAATTCCTCTCCACAGTCATATCTATAGAAAAGCAGAGGGTGTGGGTAGAAACTGGTCTGAAACTATCAGTAGTATTTTTCTCCCTTTGAAATAAATGGGAATAAAAGTATGCAAAGAGAAAAAACTGGTGCCAACCAAAATATGGGAGAGGGGAGCTCCCATTACTTACCTTCAGCCCTAATTGGCACTAGATGGGCTTTTGGACTTTGAAGGGCAGGATAGAAAAAGTATTGCTGCTTTTGAACTTTGGTTCAAAAATCTCAAGACTCCTGAGAATACAATGGATAGGCAAGAAGATGAACAAATGGATCATCAAACAAATCAACCCAGAGTTTTTACTTGAGGCACAAATGACCAGGCTCAAATCATCCTACTTCGGACACATTATGTGACTATCTAGCTCTCTGGAGACGGTTCTAATCCTGGGAAAGGTAGAAGGAAAGAGAAGAAGAGGATGACCAATTGGAAGACCTGAAGAACCAGGTTCAGGACAGATTGTCATAACAAAAATCTGTGTAGTTGCTAAGGCTTGATGCTGTCTTCATGGCACATATAAAATCTGAAGGGCTTTGGACATTGGTGCAACCTGCTAGTGACACATTACATTGGCTGTAATGTGCAACCTTGTAGTATCAGCCCTTCAAGGTAGACCAGACTAGGAAACCAAAGTTATGAATGCTAATACAGGTAGTCCTCACTTAACAACCGTTTAACAATGGTTCAAAGTTATAACGGCCTCAGAAAAAGTGCTTTACAACCTGTACTCACATTTTCAACCATCACAAACCATTGCACCCCTCCGCATGGTAACATGATCATGATTTGCGATCTTTACGACAGTCGCTAAGCGAATCATGTGGTTAAGCAAATTCTGGTAAAAATCATCCATTGAGGAAGCTGGATTCGCTTAACAACCATGTGATTCACTTAACAACCACAGTGATTCACTTAATGGCCATCATAAAAATGATCATAAAATTGGGTCTGGTCATGTGGTGACTCACTTAACAACTGCCCTGCTTAATGACCAATTTTGCAGTCCCTATTGTGGTTGTTAAGCAAGGATTACCTGTGCTATTTTTATTATAAAGATTACAGTAACAGAATCTTGCAAGTCTGAATGCACCTCCCTCTCTTTATCTTCAAGAGAACTAGGGAAGGTCAAATCTGAGATGCTTCCTTAAATTACATTTCTGCCTTGGATCCAATTTTTTTTTGTCTGACTGTTGTCTTGGTCGCAGCTCTTCCTCCTGTTCCTCAAGGTTATTCCTACTTTCCATTACATACAGCCACATGAAGACCTTTAATCTCTTTTTATGCTTCCCTATAACTGCACCACTGAACATTGGTAAAGTGCTGAAAATCAGAATCATGGTTTCCTGCCATTCTGAGGCAGAACATTACATATTTTTAAATTAATAATTATATAATTCAACATAGGTGGCACCTGACTTTAATCAACTCTGGGTGGCTCACAGCATAAAAACAAAACAAGAAATTGTCAGCCCTTCAAGGTAGTCCTGACAAGAAGCGCAAATAAGGTCACAGTTACAGAATCTTGCAAGTCTGAAAGCACCTCTCCTCCACTTACTTTTACTCTCCTGAAAACTAGGGAAGGTCCCTTCTGAGATGCTTCCCACACCCCTTTTCCTTCTGTGGGCTGAGATACCTTTTGCATGACAATTGTCTAGGCTACTGCTCTTCCTCCTGCCTCCCAAGGTCATTCCTGCATAACGTTACGCAGATATACAATAAAAAGAGTGCATATAACAATAAAAAGATGCCCAATCCAGTTAACAACACAAACATATTATACACCCATAAAGAGCTTCAACCAACCTAGTCCAACACTTGGAAGAAGAACCAGGTCTTTAAGGCCCTCTGGAATAACCTCAATTGATCAATCAATCAATCTGCAGCTTCCTTACCATCATAACATATCCCATGTACATACTGTAATAATGGCCCATTAACTCCATATAATCAGCATGTCCTGTTCATTCCTTCCCACCTTCTGAAAAACACTGTGTGATTCTCCCACCAAAGTTTGTGGCTGAGAAAATACTTATACTTCTGCCATAAATCTTTTTCCCCGATGGGATTGTTATACCTATGAAATAAAATTAGGAGTGGATGCAGTCATACTGCTTATTAGTATAATACAGTAGATGTTTTACTTATTTGAAGATTGACACACTAAGATGGATATTGCCACCCACTCCAAAAGTAGAAAGTAGGATAAACATAATTCTTTGTTTTGTTAAATAATTTTAGTGATTTTTAAATTGTATGATCACATTATGAACAATCACATACAGTATATAAATAGATCAACCCTCCACTAACTATAAATGGGCAATTTAGCTTTATGGACTTTCTTAGCACCTTTACTTTCACTTGGAAAGAGGCTACTATAATAGTAAAGTACTACAGGTAGTCCTCGCTTAACGACCGTTCATTTAGTGACAGTTCAAAGTTACAATGGCACTAAAAAAAGTGACCTTCGAGTGGCGCCCAAAGTTATGACCGTTGCAGTGCCCCTGCAGTCATGTGATCGCAATCCAGGTGCTTGGCAACCAGCTTGCACTTACAATGGTTGCAGTGTCCTGGGGTCACATGATCGTCATTTGCAACCTTCCCAACTGGCTTCTGGCAAGCAAAATCAATGGGGAACCATGTGATTCACTTGAGGACTATGTGATTTGCTGAACAACTACATGATTCACTTAATGACCGTGGTGATTTGCTTAATGACCACTGCAAAAAAGGTCATAAAATTGGGTCCCGTCATGTGATGATTCGCTTAATGACTGCATTGCTTAGTGACCTAAATTCCGGTCCCAATTGTGGTCGTTAAGCAAGGACTACCTGTATTTAATAGCATCCATGTAATAATGACTCATTTTTATGTATATGGAACACCTAAATCTTGCCCAGTAGATTGATGTTTCATTTGCTTGCTTATTCATTTCTATTTGTTTTTTAATTTTTTACTTATTTATTTATTTATATCCCATCTTTCTTCTAGGAGCTTAAGAAGGTTTTTATGGGGCTCACCCCTTGTTTTATATTCATAACAACAACCCTGTGAGGTAGGTTGGACAGAGAGAATGACTGGCCCAATCTTATCCAGAAGTCCCACTGAGTGGGGATTTGAACCTAAATCTCCCCCATTCTAGTTCAGCACCTTAGCCCCAATATTGTACTGGCTCTAATGTTTTTGTTACTATTCAAATACAGTAGCTAATAATATAGTCTCTCAGGTTCTCTTCTAGAGTGGTTCCAGATCCAGTTTTCTTCATCCTGCAGTGATTGGATCCATCTTCTAGTAACATGTATGGTTAAATGAGAGAGAAAAAGCACGATTGTGTCAGGAGGGAACATTAGTAAACATGTCAAAAGTTTCTGTGGCTTTCTCAGGTGCTCACTATGCAGAATTCAATTTCCAGTGCATCAACAAAACCAAGGATTCTGTTTTTATCCCATGTTCTACGGCAGGGTTCCTCAACCTCAGCAACTTTAAGATGGGTGGCCTTCAATTCCCAGAATTCCCCAGCCAGCCATTCTGGGAGTT